TGCAGACATCCCAGCATGAGCTGTTCTGGCAGAGAGAACAAGGGGTGCAAACTCTATCTGCATTTTCAGTGCAGGGGCTAGAAGGAAAAAAACCTTGAGAACAGTTGAGGCCACAAGGGGAACAAATCCTAAGGTCACTCCTAACACACAAGCTAGTCAAATCTGGCTCATTGAGAAGGCTGGCATTGAAAGAAAACCTCCCTTCACCGCACGAATCAGGAGTGCATAAGCCTGGGCTGCACAGCTGCAATGGAGGATCATAATCAAACTGTGATGACACGTTCGCGAACCAGCAATCAAGAACAAGATCACTTTCCCTTATCCCACAAGTTACGAAATCAGATGAGGCAATTGCAAGAAAACCAGATCCTCTTGGGATCAATGATGAGTTATACTTTCCCCAGCACTCAATCCCATGATCGTCTTCTCGGATCCCACAGAAGTGCAGATCTCCTGCTGCCAACGACACAAAGGGGATTCCAACCGGAACAATGCCATACGATTCATTAGCACCCCAGCATTTCAGCCTCTTGGACACTTCAGAAACTCCACAAAGAGAATCTATACCTGAAGTTAAAGAATGAAAATTCTCTGAGACACCTGAAAGTCCTAAATTACCGGATTTCGGACCCCAACAAGCTATCCCTCCTTCCCTGACACTGCCACAACTGAATCCATCCCCAGAGACAAGATCTTTCAAAACAAAGGTACTAATATACTGATTGTAAAACAGAGTACTCTGCCTTGAGGTCAGGGTACTGCTGTTCGGTTTTTGAATAATGTCCCAGCAATCGATAGAGCCCGATTCACTTCCTGAATAATAAAGACTCCTGATCGCACACACATGGCTTTTCCCAGCAGCAATATGGGAATAAGAATTCGACTGAAAACACGAAGGAACAAGATTAGAACTAGGCGATCCGGCAGCGTCCCAGCAGTATGCCCGCGAGGTGTTTGCGAGTATGCCGCAGAGAAATCCGCCGCCGCCTGTTAGAGCAGCCATGGGGGGAAGATCGATGGGAAAGCTAGATGGGGTTCCCCGGGAAGAGAGGTTGGTCCTTTTGCCCCAACAAATGACCTGCTGCTTCCCGCTGGCATCAATGGCGCAGAAGAAGCCATTGGCACCGTAAGAAGCAGAGATGGGGCCCATCGAGCCGAACCCAGAAGCTGATTTGAGCAAGGAAATGAGGCAGATGAAGGTAAGACGGAAAAACATAACAGCCAAAGAAGAAGAAGAAGAAGAAGAGGAAGAAATGGTGTTCTGCAGAGGTGTGGGTACGATGTCGGCGTAGCCATTAGAAGGCTTCTCAGGTGCAGAGTTATAAGTAAGAAGAAAGTCATTTTGTCGATTCACCTCCACCGCGTGCTGTTGAAATCCTGAAAACTTTACTGCATGCTAAAAGCCATTCAACAATGCACCGCATTAAAGTCTTAAGACTTGTTCACCACATGCTCATGCTGCACCCTGCAACACACACTTGCGCATGTCCGGTTGCTATCCCTCTCCCAGTTTTTATTTTATTTCACACTCCCCACTTGTTTTTACCTATTTTCATTACTTATAAAATACTCCCTAATATAATTTTGTCACATCTTATTTTATAGAATTTTTAATATAATTTTTAAATATATAAATTTTATTTTTTATTTTTTACTTCTAATTGAATTGAATTGGTCAAACCTTGTAAATAGAAAGGGGGGAATATTTTAGGACGGATGAAGTAATAAAAACTCAAATCATCATTTCAGTAGTGATAGTGTAAATTACCTAACCGGGTAAACAATACTAGATCGGATCTAAAATTGTTTACTGGATTCGAGATAATAAAAAGTAAAATCACATAAACTAACTGGGAGAACTACAGGTGGAAATACTGTAAAGGGCCGGCCCATGGGGGGGACGGGCAGCCCGACCGGACCGGCACATGAATTATTGGGGCAGCATTCTCGCGTCTCCAGCGGCAGAAGAGTCTTCGGCCATTCACGCTGGCGTATCTCTCATATTCCATCTAACCTTTCGCCTTCGTCTCCATGATTTTGAGTAGTATGTTCCCGTTTCATCTCAATCATTTATTATCATTGTTTTTAATGCGCATTTATTTGTTTTTTTTTTTTAATTTTTTCTATTTTGTTTGATATTGGCTGGAAATTAAGAACACGCTTGTTTGTTTTTATATTTTATTATAACTTTTTCAGATAAAGACCGTATGTTTATGCTAATCATTATGTTTATGCTAATCATTTGTCTGGAAACTAACCCATCAAGGAGTATTGGATTGGAACTGTCCTTTTGCCTTCTTTATGATCCCTGATTCTCCACGTATGAGTGCATATTATAAATTGAATATAATTGGGTCCATTTTAGGATATAATTTTGATATATCAAATTTTTATATCATTTCTTTATTTAGATTATGTTTAATTTTTTGTCAAATGGTGTCGTTGTTTGACTAAAAAAGGTCAAAACAAGAAAGATTTTTAGAACTGGAGGGATTATGATTTTTTCATTTATTTATATTGTTATAATACTATTACGTTAATTTTCATTTAAATATAATTAGTTTACATACTTTAGTTTATTAGGTAATTAGGCATAAGGCGTTTAGGGTCATTTTTTCTGTCTCGGCCCAGGCCGTTGAATTCTCAGGACTGACTCTGGTTATTATGAATATAGTAGAGTGCACTTGAGCTTTTAAACAAGGATTCTAGTGAGAAGAAATCGGATCCCTTCCTTTGAGGGTTACACAGGTATTTATAGTGAGCTAGGCCGCCTGCTAGGGGAGACAAGGCGCCGCACATCCACGTCAGGGCACGTTCCTAAGTGGTGCGAGGTGATTGCCTCGGTCCTCTAGTGGCCTTGTCATCTAGTTGGGAAGGTGACTTCCTTGTCACGTAGTGCTTTGGACGGATCGCTCGAATATCTTTAATGATTCTTCGTTGAACTTGGCCGCTACAGTTCAACTTCCTTTGAATTCTTCCTTGCCGACACTTCTCAATCATAGAAATCATGCCGAGTAGATTCCCAAGGGATGAGTTAATTGAAATTGGGGACGAATGAATGAGTAAAATAGGTTGACCGGTAGACTTTCTGAAGAGCACCGATCAAATTTTTTATCAACTTATTACCCTCTTATTGTTGTTTTAGGCTTCCCATTCCCAAAAATCAACTTTGACCGGTTGAATATTTGAACGCCTTCTTTGACCGATTCTGAGTGGAATACACCCATCAAGTAGAAATAATACATCTCTAAGGAAAAAACGGTCATACATGGATCTCTTAATAAAACTGAAACTCAAACTATTAAAACATACCGCAACTTCTTTAATATCAAAAATAATAAAACTAAAAGACAAATTAGACGTTTCAGAATCTAACGCAAAAATGACTTGTTGAGCACTCCAAAAAAATCTCCTTAGACAACTCATTTATATAATTTAGTATATCAGTACAAAATAAATGAAGTATATGGCAACGACTTTATTTGAATATATTAGAAGAGGTGTTTTGTTGCTAATGAAAAAAATAAAAGAAGAATTGTTTGGAAAACGTAGGGAGTATTATTACTATTACTATTATTATTGTTATTATTATTCTCATCTGAATTGAAAATATTGATGTAATTTCACAATTTATAAAAAAATTTCTTTTATCCTCAAAGTAAATTTTAGTTATCTCTATAGAGTCAACGTAAGTAAAATATTAAATTAATTAATATATTATTTTCTTTGTGATTTAAATATTCTTAACTATGTTTTTTTGAAATGTGTTCTGGTAGAGATTAGAGGTTGGCGCGGTCCGTCCGTGACAGTCCATGATACTATCGGAACCTATCACGGGCCGCTCTTATTTAAACTGTTCGGTATGATGGTATCTGTACGGATGAACTCCAAAATTATTCGGTACCATTCCATTTTGAAACGGAACGGTACATGCCATACTCATGCTCAAACTGTGCCAAAAAATGAACGTACTCATCATTTTATGTAGAGATATCAATGTATAGTACTTATTTTGAAATATAGTTTTCGAATACGATATTTTCATTATATGTATTTGTATATAAGTAAAGATATTAGTGATCAATATATTACTCCCTCCGTCCTAAATTATTTGCAACGTTTGCTTTTTCAGCAGTCGCGAGAACTTTTATTTATTTCTATGTTTTCATTAGTTATTTGATAAAATAAAATATTCTTGACACCTCTTATTTCGAAGAGCTTTTCATGTAATTTTTTGATATGTAAATTTTATTTTTTTATTTCTATATCAATATGTAAATAAAATGAATTGAAAAAACTTAATATTTTGCCTCGGGAATACAAATGTGGCAAATATTTAGGGACGGAGGGAGTACATTCTAAACTGTGAAAAATTAAGTAAAAAAAGATATGGAAAAGATCAAATATTTATTTGGAAGAAAAAGTAAATGAAAGAATTCATATTTTCATTAATTAATAAATATAATTATATTTTTTATGGAGAAAACAAATAAGAAAGAATAAGTATTGTTTTAGGATAGAAGGAGTACAAGCTTAGGAACTAATTACAAAAAAGAAATTGTTCAAAAATGTTTTCTTATCATGTATAGTATTGGTTTTGTTTTTTTAAAATAAAAATAATCATTATTATTTCCAAAATCGTTTTTGTAAGACACAAGACACAACACAACTTGCATTGTAACGCTCCAAAACATACTCTAGAATTATTAATAGATAATTATTCAAATTAATTAAATTTGTTTTGATTAAAATAAATTGTTGTTGGGCTTTGGGGCGAAATCAAATATATATTGATATCTAATAAACATAATTGGGATAAATCTCATAGAGATAAAAACATGTTGACTTATTGTGTGATCTTGATTGCTAACCTCAGTACAGACACAAATTAAGAAGAAATGAAGAAATTGTTTATAATGTGAACTTTGAAATGATTTATTAAAATAAATCATGCAAATAAATAAAATGAATTAAATGTGAGAAGCTTTTTGAATAAAAGTCAATTTAACCAATTTTGATTCTGTCAAAGTCAACCACCCAAAAATATGATGTCGTAAAAAGTTTTCCCCGACTGGACCAAATTAGTCCCAATCACGGACTTGCGTTTGGAATCGTAGAGATAGGCCGTCCGCTCCACTGAGACGCCAAAACAGGGAAAGGGAGGTCATCAACCTATGTCTTCTTCCTCTCCTCTCTACTATATAAACCCATCCAAACTCTACCATTCTTCACCAATCTTCTTCCAAGAGATAGCTGAGAGTGTAGAGAGTGAAGTAGTAGTGCTGTCAAGAGTGCTTCCCGTCGCCGGAGATAGCCACAATCCCTGCCGGAAGTTTCACCGGAAAATCTTCAAAACCTTCATTTACCTTCGAGGTAAGCCCGTAGATATATCTAATGACTAAAATGTTCATATAGATCGTTTCTACGTTCATAAATGGTCATTTGGTTGAGTTTTGTGTTTGACATGTTTGAAGAACTAATAATCATAAACCTTGAATTTGATGTTAAAACTATGAATTAATGATACCAAAATGATCTATGAACCTTGGAAAACATTTCTATATAGTTTAATTGAAGTTTGGAAACTAAAAACGGAATTTTCGAAATTGGAGTCGCGAGGTAGAAGACAATGAACCGTGGCTGAAAATACCCAGGGAGGATCGATCATCCCTCTTAGATAGATCCAAATGAATAATTTCTCTACGGAGGATCGATCCAAAGTGCTAGATCAATCCCCCGACTTGTCTGCTCTGAAAAAGCTTTTAAAAATGTTATTTTTGAACCCAAAAATCTTGATACCAATCAATTATGATTAATATAAAGATGATTTCTTGGAATAAAAATGGTGTTTTGACAATTAAAAGAATCTTACGTGATGCATGACGGTAAGCTAAGGTGTTAACACTCAAAGCTAGACCGATAATTGCTATTGCTTTGAATGTTATGTTGATTGATGATTATGATGAATGATTGTAATGGATGATTATGATTTATGAACCTACTAATTCAAATGATTATTGTGAATGATTGAATCATTTTTTAAAAATGAATACATGAATGATTATAAAGTGATTTGTAGTGTTACGGATATCTAGAAGAACTCTAAGATATATATCCATTTGGAATTGATAATGACTATTAAGGATATCTAGAAGAAACTATAAGATATATTGATGTTGGTTTCTAGGACTATCTAGAAGACCTCTAAGATAGCATAGAAATAGGTCTTGCGGGTATAATTATGAATATTCGGTGGCCTGGGTTAAAACTTACGTACGGGATCTACAAACCAAACTAGAGGAACTCATTTGGGAATACCACCCAACCCGACAGTGAGCATTCCGCTGTTCGGTTTCTGGTTGACCTTAAGCGAAGGTAAGTTTATCTTAAACTAGGCCTAGCTTGAGAATTGGATAAAAGTACCTTAGACTAGAATATAGTTTAAGAATTGATTAGAAATATCTTAAACTAAAATTCGTTTAAGGATTGATAAATATTAAAGAGATTGCTCTTAGACTAAGAATAGTTTAAGGATATTGTTGAATACGAATGTTGAATATTGAATTTGAATGTTGAATGTTGAATATGAAAATGAATGTTGAATATGGAACTGAACATTATGTGCAAAATATCAAATGGTTGATTATGAATTGAGATTCAATTTATGTGGATGCTCGACGATTTAAATATGCTTAGTCAGCTTTACCGCTGAGCGTAGAGTGTGTTTTATTTGCTACACGCAGGTTAATAGAAAGAATGATATGGCGTGATCCGGGAGGCAGACGGAGGCGAGATTGTCGGAATGGATGTGATGGTTTTGAATTAAAGAACATAAATAAATTATGTTTGTATTATGATTTGTTAAGCTTCCACAATATTGAAAACTCCGTACTGTTTATATTATGAAAAATATTATTGTGATAAATAAAAGTGTTTGAAATGTTTTAAATTTTGATTATTACCACGTTAATACTTTAGTTCGAAAGGGGCTGCAGACTTGGACGGATTAGGGTGTTACATTCATATTTAGGAAAAAAAATATTTCATATCAAATGAGTAATTTTTAATACAAAATTAACATTGTTAGCATTGGGCTATTTTTGTGATTATTTTTATTTATGAAATGTGATGAGAATTTATTTTTGTTTGGCTGAAATATCGTTAGATTATATGTTTTTATTTTTTTATTCCAAAACATATTAGTAAAAGTATTGTTTCATTTATCTTCCTATTTTTGTTACATGTATTAGTAACAAGCTAATTAAGACATAAAAAATAGTATGATAGCCATTGATATTAAATAGTAAAAAAAAGTAAAACTGAGTGTGAGTCACACAAATATTACTAATATGGTTTGTTACAAAAATATGATGACGTTGAAGAAAATAAAAAATATTAAAAATTGAAAAAATGATACTTTAAATTATTTAAGGCTCTATTGTTTTAGGTTGAAAAATTAACTCCCAACTCCTTCTAACTCTTTCAGTTTCTTCCAACTCCTTTTAATTTTTTCCAACAACGACTTAAAAATAGTACTATAAGATGATTATACAATAACATCATATGTCCAAATTTACAACCTGTCACCTCAAACACGAACAAGGATGCATTTCTTTTTTTTCTAAAATGAGAGTTTTCTTATATGTTTATTTGAGTGATCATATAATCGAGTGACTTTTTAGCTTTTTAATTCTTTCAATATTTTCCAGTTCGTCGCAGTTTTTTCTAACTCTTTCCAGCTTATTCTAACATCTAACTCTGAAATGTTAGCTCAAAAAAACAGTGCCTAAGTAAAATATACTCCGTAATAATTTTTCCAACATGTTTCATTTTATGCAATTCTTTCCAGTATCTTCAATTCCAACTTTCTCTAGTTTTTTCCAACTTTTTCTAGTTTTTCCCATTCATTCCACTTTTTTGTAGTTCCTTTGCATTTTCCCCAATATCCAGTTCTGTTTTTACAACTCAAAAGAACAAAATCATAAAATACTCCCATTCTGATTCAATCCACTCTTTTTACTATCTATTTGGCAAGTGTTGGTGGTTAGAGTTAACGCTTAGAAAAAATTAATAACGACGACGTTTAGCTTTAACGCTTTTAAAGTTAATATATACTCCCTCTGTTTTTAAAAACACTTCTTCTTTCAGTTTTTCACTTCCAACAAAACACTTCCAATTTCTTTTAAAAAACCACATTTATCCTTACTTTTTTCATAACCTACCTATCACATCATATTTTTTCTCTAATAATCTATCGATCACATCTTATTTTTACCAATCACATCAAGGCAAAACTAGAAGTCAATTACAATTTAACACTTCCTTGTTTTTATACTTGGTCAATATAGCAACTCTTTTTTAGAACGGAAGGAGTACCATTAAAATTTTATCCAAAATGTTAATACTGATCGAAAACATTATTTCCAAACAAAGCTGTTAAGTGGATGATTTTAGCCTTAAAAATTGAATTACATCTAAAAGTTTTCTTTTATATTTTTAAGGATAAAATTTTCTATTTGCCATAAAAGGGGTATATTTAGCTAAAATTAGAGTGAATACAAGGTGGAGGGCCATGGAAAAGGCACTGGGGATGAAAAAAGGGATGCCTACCTTTCACATATCTTAGAGGATGTGAAATTCACATATGTATCATAAGATGGAAACATTGTGAAAGGATCATTCTGAACACTAACACTCCGTTTGGTACCCGAAATTCAAACTTTGATATTGAAATTGGAGACTTCAAATCCAATTGTGGTATTTGGTAGCACAAGAATATGTGAACGATCCTTTCACAATGTTTTTTTCGTTTATCCCGACAGTGTATTTTCCTATTTGAGACATTAATAAATATCTTCCCCTTTTGAGATAAAGATGCTGTTGTTTGATGCTGGACTTTGGTTTGAGAAAATAATGGTTAATGCAGGTTGATGCTGGAGTATCTATGATGGAAGCTATACGTTTTGCTTTTTTAGGCTTTGGAAAATATTGTTTTGGTAGCCATGCCTTTGTCTATTTAGGTTTGGCTTGGCTTTTGTAACTTTGGGTTCCTTTTTTTCTTCTACTACTTTTTTTCTTCTACTAGTTGGGGATAGCTCCGGCCAGATGGTCACTGACATTAGGTAAATTAAACTTTAATTGTAGATTAGTGGCAAAGAGTGGAACCTGCACCTGATACTTGTAGAGACCATATGGTTAGCATAGTTGATTCTCGGCGCAGTTCCCAGGAATCGAACTTGGATCTTCCCCCATGCCCACCGGGTACTTTTTCTCATATCAAAATAGAGTCACTAGAGAGCTTTTAGAGAAGGAAAATCTAAACAAAAAAGATAGATTACTCTGACAATTTTATTATTGTTTCTTGTGCCCGGATGGACCCAAACACCACACAGCCAGACAGACAAGAAGGGGCTTAAAAGCCAAGGGCAAAACGTGGAAGAAAAAAGAAGTGGAAATCACATTATCCTTGACTTGGCACCACTAAAAACACCACCACCTCTTCACCAATCCTGCTATTTGTGTATTCACAATTCCTCCCATGGAGGATTTGGGTCCTCAGGCAACCACTGGGATCAATATAATCAGGCATTGCTCCTAAAGGAGCCCAGAGCTTTGGCTGCCCCTGCCCTTAATATATACTGGTAGTAGAATGCAGCAATGGCAGCTCCGATGAATGGCCCTACCCAGAAAATCCACTGGTCATCCCACGCCTTCTGCTTCCCGTACATCACCGCCGCCCCAAGACTCCTCGCCGGGTTAATCCCCGTCCCCGTGATCGGAATCGTGGCCAAATGAACCATGAACACCGCAAACCCAATCGGAAGTGGTGCCAAAACCTACGCATCAAGACACCAATATATAAAAACATACATTTCATGATCTTAAATTTTTCTTAAAATGAGTTTTTTTGACTCCCAAACTCACTAAAAACAGCATGGATTGAACTCTCAAAATTGCATCAATGGTCCCTAAACATTTTAAAACGCGTTGCAAAAATGGTCTTCTTTGAGCCAGACTTGAAAGTACGTTAATCACATGATCAATGGCTTCATCAATCTATGACATCCGTTGTTAAATGTTGAGGAACCCTTGGTCCAATTTTTAAAATTTTAGGGAATCCGTGCAATTTTTTGAGAGTTTGAGAACAAATGGCTCAAGAAACCTTTGTGGGAATATAAAAATCTTTCCTGAATTTACTAACATAACATAAATTTGAGCTTTTGGTTGAGATTAACATAATTTCACCGTCTTATTGACTAAGAAGTAACGAGTTGGAAGAAAACATTGGAAAAATACTTACAGGGACATGGGAGTCTCTGGCGTTTCTCTTGGGGTCAGTGGCAGAGAAAACAGTGTAAACAAGAACAAAAGTGCCAATAATCTCAGCGCCCAAACCGGTGCCCTTGCTGTACCCATCTTGCAGCCCATTGGCGCCGCCGCCATACCTCACATAGTACGCCTTCTGGAACGCCTTCACAAGCCCGCACCCGCAGATCGCCCCCAGACACTGAGCCGCCATGTACATGACGGCGCGCACCAGCGACACCTTCCTCGCCAAGAACAGGCCGAGCGTCACCGCCGGGTTTATGTGGCCGCCGGAAATACCGGCGGTGCAGTAGACGAGAACGAAGATCATGCCGCCGAAGGCCCAGGCGATGCCGAGAATGCCCACGCCGCCGCAGGGGTCGTCGGCGCCGTGGACGGCGGGGTCGGTCTGGCTTTTGTACCCGATCACGGTCAGGACTGTGACGTACAGGAAGAGGAGAGTGGCGATGAACTCGGCTATGACGGCCCTGTAGAAGGACCACTTCCCTAGCTCTTCTGGGTCAATCAGGGGAGCTGGGGGAGGGTCATGGTAGTCCTTTGGTGCTGCGTATTCTGTGCCAACCCCCATGTCCTTCGCCATTTCAGCTTTTATTTGAGCTTTCAAGATTTTGGGTTTCTTCTTTCTCTTGTCTTAATGGGTGATCAGAGGTTCAGAGGAAGTGGGAATATTTGTGGAGGTTTGGGTGTGGTGGAGCTGAATGAGTAGGGTATTTATGGGGAGAAGCCTAGAGTTCGGTAGGAAGCATTAATGCCATTACTCCCTTTATTTATTTATTATTGAAGATATTGCCATTGCTCCCTAATTGATTTTTTTTAGAGCATCTTTACTCTAGGGTGGTCAAGTGATGCATCATTGCATTCTGCAATTTATAATCATATTTTTATTCATTGATAATGTGACAATGTTTATAAATACTCGTATTTTTTTATACTTGTTGGTAATGTAATGGCTATGATAAGCTCTATGAATGCATTTTAATTCATATTTCGAAAATAAAATATAAAACACTTATTTTGATATATTTTCATTTTTACTTTTACTATAGTTTTTTTCCTGCTAAAAATAAAATTTGAGTTCGAATTCGGACAACTAAATTGGGAAGTAATTATACTAAGTATAAGCTCTCTGCAAATACCAAGTGAAGATTTAAAACCATTTTTTGGGCCCCCAAAGGTAGTGCTATCCTTTTAATCCAAGGTGCTTAAACATTTGCCTCATTAGAATTTACAAATTCTAATGTGGAGCATAAATGAAACATTGGTTACTTCATTTAAAAAAAGTGGTTTAGTACACTGTAGAAGAATTGTATCTTACATAAAAATTCTCCTAAGCAAGTAACTTTCTGTAAATAAGCCTGAAAATAGGCATATCAGAATAATTAATTGATAATTAATTAATTAATTGATAATTAATTAATTAATTATTGAGAAGGACCCAAAAACAAGTTACTTATAAAGTTTGTCAATAAATAATAAAAGTTATATCGTTTTGTGGAGTTTGACTGTCTGACTGTAACGGTTCAGTCAGATTTCAATTTGGAGCAAGTTGGACCAAAAATATTACCTCGACTGGAACCGAAATTAGTCCCAATTAGGGAACGACGTTTAAATCTCACAGAAGCCAATATCCATCATCTGAAGATCCGCTAATTGGAAACATGTCTTAACATCTACGTCTTCTTCTCTTTCCCTTCACTATATAAGAAGCACCTTCAAACATCATTTCTTCATCATTCTTTCTAATTTTTCTTGTTGTGAACTCTTGGAGTGTGAAGAGTGTTGTAGTGCTGTCAATTTGGTTGAAATCGCCGGAACTGAGAATAATCGTCGCTGGAAGTTTGCCAGAAAATTTCTAAAATCTTCGTTAAGATTCGAGATAAGCCCGTAGATATAATAAGTGACTAGAATGTTTGTATAGATCGTTTCTACGTTCATAAACGGTCCTTTGGTTGAGTTTTATGTTTGACATGTTTGAAGAGCTAAGAATTATAAACCTTGAAATTGTTATAAAAACTACAAATTAATAATACCAAAATGATTTATGAACATTGGAAAATATTTCTATATAATTTAATTGATGTTTGGTGACTACAAATGATATTTTCAAAAATGGACCCAAGGAAGAGGACGATGAACAGTAGCCCATAATCGATTAATTCACCCTGATTAATCGATTAATTGATTATTCCGCTGAAGCATTTGAGACCAGTAGCAATTAATCGATTATCTTATCCTGATTAATCAGTTAACCCTTTGATCCACTGAAGCGTTTGTAGACAGAAGTGATTAATCAATTTTCCTACCTTCGATTAATCGATTAACCTCTTTTTCCCCTGAAGCATATGGAGTCAGTAGCTATTAATCGATTTCCCCATCCCTGTTTAAGCGATTATTTCATGCAGAAAACTTCAATATGGAAATAATTTCTGGAAATAAATATGATGTTTTAACAAATCCAGTAATATTATATGAGCATGACGGTAAGCTAGAGTGTTAAAACTCGACGCTAGGCCGCTATTTGTTATTGGCTAGTATTATCAATTTATGGTTATGATGAATATTATTGATTGATGATTATGATAATTAAACTTTCATTAATATTGTAACGCCCCAAAATATACCCTAAAATTTATTGAATTAAATATTCAATTAAACAAAATTTGTTTTGATTAAAATAAATTGTTGTTGGGATTTGGGCTTGAATAAAATATATATTGATATCCAAAAAAAAATAATTGGGATAAATCTTATAGAGATAAATCCAACATGTTGATTTATTGTGTGATCTTGATTGGGAACCTGAGTAAAGACCCAAATCAAGAGTAAATAAAGAATTTGTTTAGAATGTAAATATTGAAATGATTTGTTGAAATAAATCATGAGAATAATTGATATGAATTAAATGGGAAAACATTTTATGAGAAAGGTCAATTAAACCAATTTTGACTCTGTTAAGGTCAAACACCCAAAAATGTGGTGTCGGGAAAAGTATAACAAATGAATATAAAAATTATATCGTTGGATAGAGTTCGACTGTCTGATCGCAACGGTGCAAACGGATTTCAATTCGGAGAAAGTTGGACCGAAAAGTGTACCCCGACTGGACCAAAAATTAGCCCCAATCAGAGAGTAACGTGCTGAGTCTCCTTAAGTCGCACTATCGCCGAAAGAAGAACGTGAAGTTCCTACGCAGCATCTACTCAGACTTTGTTTCCTTCTTCTTCATCTTCCCTATAAAAGGAGAAGCTAACTCCCTCATTCCTTCACCATTCTCCTTCAAATAAACTCGAAGAGAAAGCTGTGAGTGTGGAGAACGAAGTTGTGCTGTCAATTTGGTGTGAAGTCGCCGGAGCAAGCCACAATCTT